ACGCGTACGTGAAGTACTGGGAACTAGAATCTGAAACAATTCAACATTCAATTAGTACATTTGAGAATTTCATGTGGTATTAAAGTCTACTGAGAGTTCTATTCGATAGCTAGATGAATATTTCGTTTTAAGGAAGTATAATAAATCTTTGTCTATTGTGAAAAGAATATCAAAAGCTAAAGCTTAAATCGTGTAGATTTTACCGTGGCAAAATAAAGAAGCTTCCTTCCTTCCTTCCTTCCTTCCTTCCTTCCTTCCTTCCTTCCTTCCTTAAATCGTGTAGGCCGGGGGATTGGACCTGGACATCTGTTGACGGGATCTTGGATCGCAAAATGTTTTGTCAAATTTTCATCTTTTGAAAGGGCATAGGTATTCTTTATGTGTAGCAAAAACATGTCCACTCTCTAAAATTTGAATTATGCTTTTAGATTCTGAATTTTAAAGGTTTTTTATTTTTGGAAAATCAGGAACCGTACATGGCTGGAATGGAATGGAATTCAATTGGCTGGATCGTGCGGATCGCTAAACGTTTTTCACGCCGAATTTGCAGCTTTAACCCCATGATTGTTAGTTTAATATTTATAACTAGTAATTTCATGCTGAAATTAGGAAAAATTCAGAATTGAAAAAAAATTTTTTTTTTCAGTTTTGAATTACAAAACATTTTGCTTCTTGATCAAGCCCTCCACCAACATGTTTGAAACTTTCATGTGTTACCAAGGTCTTTTAGATATGGCGAAGACAAAGTATTCCGAGGTTTTAAGGTCACCACATGTCGTTGAACGAATGAATGAAAGTCAAACATCTTCATTCATGTTGCGATAATYTTTTGTTTATTTTTGATCACTTTTCTTTTTCCGCGACTTAAATTTTTTGAAGATACMTATGTGATACAATTCCCCCTTATAYTAAGKAAATTGAAGACTAATTTGGGCTGCTCATTATTACCAGTTACCTTGATTGAGTTCAGAAGAAGGAAACATGATCACTGTTTGATTTTCTTCTTGYTTGCTCCTCTTTCGACCAATGAGAATACTGCTGGATGCCGATTGGTTGGTTGATCCGACGTCAAGCACTGTGGGGAGAAATTCTGTTAGAGAAGCTTTCGTTTACAAAGGGAATGCGCATCACCATACATGGATTTCAAATGTCTCCCATATCCAAGAAATRCGATTGGATGGAATGTAATCTTGTGAACTCTGATTAGTTATGACGGAAGCCATTTCAAAGTTAGTACAATATGTTTTCCCATCACGAATATGTGGCCAATTTTATAACACAACATCGACATTATTTCATTAAAATTTGTGCAAGCTCAGTGAGTTAGGCGTGCAATGCTATTATCCCATGTTATTATTGCGCATGCTCCAGTTGCGCAATTATGTCAATTACAACGACAGTTTCCTTACGAAAAGCTATGTTTCTTACCAACATTTTTCATAGTGGTACGACCATATTGACCTGTTCTAGCCATCCGTAACGCAACACTGTCTACTGTATTTATTAGCACTCCGGTTTGATTTTTGCGTGATACCTGTAACGCAGCAAACGCACAAGACTTTATAAGTATATTTTGCATCGAATATTACGCTACAGCGAAATAAACGATGATGTGCGTGACTATGGTAACGCAAGTGGAATACAGTTACCTTAGGTATAAAAGCCCATTTGCCGATGGTCTTTGAATCTAAAATGTTGCTTGCAGTGTGAACAACTGACTGTAAAAAGAAAAAAAGATAGTTTCCAATTATTAACCTTCTCTTTGACTAGACGAAGGAATATCGTCACGCCATGTATARTGTAATACAGACCAGGGTACCGAGGGAAGATTTGTGTTGTAGTTAAAAAAAAAACCATGTTTATCTTTAAAAAAACACAGAAACCGTCTATTCAAGGAAAATTAAGTTAACCGCTACCTCGAGGTGTTAGAGTGCATGTTATATGTCCGTGAAAAGCTTTGTAAGAATTAAGTTGCACTAATTTGCACAAATTAGTAAGTTCAGTAGACCCCAGTAGACCGTAGACCTACAAAACTTTTCACTAATTTGTACAATTTTGTTAGTTAACTTTTTCTCGGATATATGGTATTCACTGTACTAAGATCCCGCTACAATTTGTTGCTTTTCTTACTTTGGTAAATTCTGTTTCTTCAATATTGTTGACTGGTTTCTTCTCTTCTCTCTCTGATACAACCTCCAGCACGTTAACCATAGCCTTCAAGTCACCAGGGTAAATGTTATCAACGCGTCGAACATTAGTCAGGTTCGCGGTCTGTTCAGCCACAGAAGCTGCGCTCACTTTTGGATCATTCGCGGCGTCTTTCATCTCTAAAGCCCACTTGGATACACAGTCACTGAGATCGGGTGTGTTCCATATTGCGCGCTCACCTTCTGCACCATCACAGGATCTACGAGCAACGCCTGAACAAAACCAACATAATTTTATTAACTGACGACTACGACCATGAAAATATCATCTTGAATGAATCATTTTCGAGTTCAAAATTACCGCTGTGTTCCTTGATTACAGACTCATTTACTCAGGCTTAGCCTCGAATCAGTGTCTAATTACTCGCAAATACCAACGGTAAAGTAAAGAATGCACAACTTCAATAATATAAGCACTTTGAAATTCTACGGACCTTCACTGGAACACATGAATATTCTGCACAAAATCGACGCTAGCCCTGAGCAACTCACGACTCGGAACTGGAGCATTTGCAAGGCGATTGTGTAGACGATTGCGTAAATTTGCACTCAAACATTATGGCCATAGTTCAAAATTATGGTAACTTGTGGACCAAGATACTCCTTACCTGTAACTCCTTCAGGACATGACGTCAAATCGATTTGTCCACGTAAAGTACGCGTCCATTTGATCTTCTGTGACGTCTCTWCCTGGCAGAAATCCATCTCTGTCACATGACCTGGTATATCTGGAGAAAAAKATGTATGTATAACAATCTGAAGCTAGAACTGTTGTTGAGAATAGCTTGGGCTTAACGTTTTCAGGAGATTGTCAATTCTTAGAGTATTATTTCTTTGTTTGCAGGTTGTGCATGAGAAGACACATGAATATGGATACGACTCAAACAAAGAATCTTATTGTCAAGAGAATGACACGTGGTCGGAAAAGTAGAGAGATATGCCATCTATTAAACTGATATTAAAGGAGTGCTTCACTTTAATTTGATTACGAAAGGATTGCGGTAACGAAGGCTTGTATTAATCTGCGTTGTCAACTATTAAAGGCACAGAATCCCGTCTCACAAAAGCAAAATTCCTCGTACGCACGCTCCAGTGTGTATGCACGCTCAGGGTTTAACTGAAGAGAAATCTGCAAAATKTTTCAACCTCAACATCTTCTGTGATAAGAATACAAAACTGTAAGATACTAGTTCTTGGGTTGAAAAATTATAGGGTTCTCTCTCAGATAGGTAAGACCAACTGATCATTACTACTCACCTTGGCATTTCCAGCCATTGCCAATGTAGTTTTTGTTGCACTTACAGTAAAAAGATCCATCAGTGTTTATACAACGTGCGTTTCTATGGCAACGCACTAGATCAACCCTGCACTGCTTGTCATCTGAAGATAAGAAAGATATCTCTTAAACGTGTCTGAAACCACTTGCGTAGGTTTGATAGAATTAGTTATAGAGAGGGAATTTGAATTTGGTATGAGTGAGAAAAACTAGTGCGCATGGCACGGTCACGTTCATCTGCTAAACCAATCACAGCGCGCGCAGTGATGGATTATCCAATCAAAATACAGGAATATGGCACGGCAAGGTGTGTATATTAAATCATCCAAGATCTGCATGCTTTTGTATGAGTGAGAAAAATTACAGCGCATGGCACAGGCACGGTTGTCAGCTGAACTAATTATAGCGCGCGCAATGACGGATTATCCATTCAACATGAAGGAATATGGCATCACATCTTACCAAAGACAAGAATGTCGTCTGAACTATTCCTACAGCTGCTTGTGAGATTCGCACATTCGTCCATATCTAAAAACAACCACAAATAGATGTATCAAACCTATCCTTGTCTTTTGACGCTGTTTTAGTCCCTCTCTGGACTAATCTTCGCCCCAGGTCTTCCTGGCTGTCGTGCAAGTTTTAGGAAGAGAGGGAAAGGGGCAGAAAGCGTATTCGAAGCGTATCTTTACATGTGTTTCTTAACTGATATAAAAATGAAATTTCTGTTAATTCATAATGAATTTTATTTTGTGTCAATCTGCTTATTCTCGCCCCGAWGGAAAACTAGTGCGCATTATCTGATATTCTCCAACTTTTTCTTCAAAAAAAAGCTACATTTACGTCATCTTCCAAGTGAATAAATAAGCATTAGATTATTACAACAGATGTCTGTTACTTACCAACAGTATTGAACACCACGTCATCGGCAAGGAACGGTCCATATCCTACTTGATTAACACCTTGTACATTAACCCGATAACTGGTCAGTTGTTTTAAACCAGCCACAGTTACACGAGTGYGCAGTGTCTTTAACTCTACTCTTATCCCTCTCGATTCCACTGTCACGCGGTATCGGTTTACAAAGTCACGTGGGGACTTCGCGATTGGAGGTTGCCAGGCAATCACCGCTGTCCCCCAACTGATTGACTGTACCGTCACATTTCTTGGAGTGGCTGAAAAAAGAGGAAGGAAAATTGTGAATCAAGAGGAAGGGAAGTAGAGTTGGATTAAAGCGTGCGCAACAAACCTGATAATGGAGCCGGTTGTATGAAGCCTTTGATGTACGACATGACATAAAACGCATGTGGGAATGGCATGTTTTGCATGGAGAATTTGTAGTTAGTCRAGTTGCCGCGGTAGATTTCGATCATCTTTTCTTGGCCGTCGCGTTTCCACTGAAAAAAGACCTTGTACCAGAAAATCGTAACCGGATCGGATGGGGGTTTCCATTGGATTAACATGGTCTTCTCATTGRCTGGACGGATGTTCACTGACAATACTGTGCGTGAGTCTACCAAAACAAATTAGAATTCTTAGTAAGACTGTAAAAAATATAGGCTGTTAAACCATGCAATCGTATCATATGAATTAGTGCTCATTTATGACTCGCGAACGTGACAATTCTTCGATTGCACGTTACATCATCGCGGCCATGTTGGTGCCATTTAACAAAAGATTTCTCATTAGCATCCATCGTTAACGGCACCACAATGGCCGCCATGCTTTTGTCTTTTGACTCTCTTGGAAATGCTTGCAACCCATCAATACTGTGCGTGAGWCTACCAAAAAAAATTAGAATTCTTAGTAAGACTGTGAAAAATATAGGCTGTTAAACCATGCCATCGTATCATATGAATTACTGACGCGTGAATGTTTGAATCCAGAATCGAATAATGTGAGAAGATTAGAATTAAATGACAGACCATCATTGTCCGTGGATGCAATCAGCTGCGCCGGTAGACTGGGCTTGAGTGAATCATCGTTGCCGTATGATATGACCTTGATTCGATAGCTAGTGTTCTTGGATAGTCCTGGTATAAGATATYTACACTTGTATAACAATCCTACGTCTAACTTGAAGAAGTCAGAAGAACTGTTAGCCTCTTTGTACAGAATCTGAAAGAATAATGTGATTGAATCATTCAGTTATTTCAATTATTTGTTGTTCCATTCACCCACCCTCCCTCCCTCCCTCTATTCCTCCCT